ACAATTACTCTTGAAATTGCATAATTGACCAACTGAACTATACAGGAATCGTCAAGACCTAATCCGGACCGAAACCGGACCTGAATTAATTGATTCATGATGGACCACGATTCTTCGCGGCGGGGATCGTATTCCAGGGGCCAGATTTACGAAAGAACTTACGCAAGCACTTACGAACGTGTACATCTTTCCTCAATCTTTGACGGCTTTGGTTACATTTATTAAACAGTTTACAAGCATGAAAACTTGCCAAATCAACTGTTGTTATTGTTATAAACAGCCTCCTGGTGCTTCGGAGCTCATTAACTGTTTAATAATTGTAAACAAAGCCGCCAAAGATTGAGAAAAGATGGACAGGTTCGTAAGTGCTTGCGTAACTGCTTCGTGAATCTGGCCCCAGGTTCGTAAGTGCTTGCGTAACTGCTTCGTGAATCTGACCCCAAGGAACTGCCCGAAACCGCTACGCGTACTAGGTGGCTGTACAAGAATGTAACAACTCTTGTATATATCTCAAAAATTGTGATGAGATTCTGGAATAGAGCAGTTGCTATTCGGGCAAGTATTGTACCCATCGCCGGGGGGAGCCGGTCGGCCGAGCGGACAGCACGCTGGATTTGTGATCCTGTGGTCCTGGGTTCGATCCCAGGCGCCGGCGAGAAATAATGGGCAGAATTTCTTTCACCCTATGCCCCTGTTACCTAGCAGTAAAATAGGTACCTGGGAGTTAGTCAGCTGTCACGGGCTGCTTCCTGGGGGTGGAGGCCTGGTCGAGGACCGGGCCGCGGGGACACTAAAAAGCCCCGAAATCATCTCAAGATAACTCAAGAAGATCGCACATTAATAGAAAAAAAATGAAAAAAAAAAACAGCTTGATACCTCTACGATGAGAGAGCTGCGGGTCCAAAGAGAATAAAAGCTACAAACATTGAATATAATAAAAAAAAATGACTAATTTTACACAAAATAAGCAATAATGAAAACAAAACTCCTTATCCACTTGGCTTACAATCAAAAAGATATATACATGTGAAATTTATATTCAATAACAAAGGTGCTGGTAATACCTTATACAAGATGCTATGTGCGTCTACCGTCACCCGGGGGTCTAGAGTAGATGTGCAGGCGATGAGTCACAATAACGTGGCTGAAGTATGTTGACCAGACCACACACTAAAAGTTGAAGGGACGACGACGTTTCGGTCCGTCCTGGACCATTCTCAAGTCGATTGTGATCAATCGACTTGAGAATGGTCCAGGACGGACCGAAACGTCGTCGTCCCTTCAACTTTTAGTGTGTGGTCTGGTCAACAAGAGTAGATGTTACAGCTGAGAGCACTCGAAGGTTAGTCTGTTGAGCTGGACACTAGCAAGCCCTTTTATATGGGCCATGACGTCATAATTGGCGCGAATTCTGGAGTTTAACAATCAGCAGGCAGGTAAACGATTGTTAGCTGATGGCATCTGGTCCCCCTGCTGAGACAGGTGTCATGGGTACTAGAGGGGGGAGGGGGGAGGGGGAGGTGTGTCTAGACCAGCTCGTCCTCCAAACAAAGATCCAAAAGTGATTCCATGCACCCGCCAAACCCCCTGTTTATGAATGAAAAGCGGTTTACACACGACTCACAACTGCTGACGTTCGAACATATCCGGAACAAGTGCTTCACTGACGACTTGTGTTCGAACCACAACGCTGTAAATGCTTCACCCACGTACTACAAATACAAATAATCGCCAACAGAACCTAAACACCTAACCTAACCTAACCTAACCTAACCTAACCTAACCTAACCTAACCTATGCCTATATATGCACAATATGCTAATATATTATAATATTAATTTATACTTGAGAAAATTCCCGTTTTGAATGAACAACATGTTAAAATTTATGAATGCGTCTGTGGGGTCGACCGCTGGATGGAATGGACTTGAGTCGAGGACGGGTTGGTCTAGACTCCCATACATTTTGGGCCCATATTGTTGTTGTCGTTGATAAATCTTGTTATAGCATGCTGATAAGTAGGCGGTAAAGGAAGAGGCAGGATCTACTGCTAAGCAGGATATTACGGTAACATAATAAACAAAAAAAAGCTGGTACGGACCTCAAATCTCACAACCTGTCCTCGACTCATGTCCATTCCATCCAGCGGTCGACCCCACGGACACATTCATAGATTTTTTACATGCTGTTCCTTCAAAACGGGAATTTTCTCTAATATAAGTTAATATTATAATATATTAGCATATTGTGCATATATAGGCATAAGTTAGGATAGATGTTTAGGTTCTGTTGGCAATTATTTGTATTTGTAGTACGTGGGTGAAGCATTTACAGCGTTGTGGTTCGAACACAAGTCGTCAGTGAAGCACTTGTTCCGGATATGTTCGAACGTCAGCAGTTGTGAGTCGTGTGTAAACCGCTTTTTATTCATAAACAGCTGAGGGTTTGGCGGGAGGATGGAATGGTCTTTGTGTCTTTGTTTGGAGGCAGCCCGTCCTCCAAACAAAGATCCAAAGACCATTCCATCCACCCGCCAAACCCTCAGCTGTTTATGAATGAAAAACGGTTTACACACGACTACACTGATGACGTCCGAACACTTCCGGAACAAGTGCTTCGTTCACGTCCTCTGTTCGAACCACAATTCTATAAATGCTTCACCCACGTACTACAAATCCAATTGCCAACAGAACCTAGACACCTAACCTAACCTAACCTAACCTAACCTAACCTAACCTAACCTACGCCAAACTATACATACCATTTTTATGTATAAGAATATTAATTTATATGAGAACAAACCAATTTTTAATACACAGTATGTTAAGATTGATGAATGAGTCAGGGGAGGAAGGCCGCTGCTTTAACCAGCCTAGTGTGAGGACGGGTTGCCCACGTACTACAAATAATCGCCAATAGAACCTACACACCTAACCTATGCCTATATATGCACAATATGCTAATATATTATAATATTAATTTATATTTGAGAAAATTCCCGTTTTGAATGAACAGCATGTAAAAATCTATGAATGTGTCTGTGGGGTCGACCGCTGGATGGAATGGACTTGAGGACGGGTTGATATAATCACGAATAGAAACCAAACACCTAGCCTAATCTACACCTAACTATACATAGAACTATATATATATATATATATATATATATATATATATATATATATATATATATATATATATATATATATATATATATATAGATCAAATCTGTAATACACATTACGTTAAAATTGACAAGTGCGTCGTGCGTAGTAGAGGGGGAGGGACTGCCGCCTCTTTAACGAGCTTAGCCTCACGATGAGTTGCACAGTCCCTCATTGGACTTGATGTAAATAGCTCAGCGCTTCATAGGACTGTATCCAAATAGCTCAGCGCTTTATAGGACTGAATCCAGATAGCTCAGCGCTTCATAGGACTTATCCAAATAGCTCAGCGCTTCACAGGACTGTATCCAAATTGTCAACAAGTCCAATATCAGGTGTTTGATAAATCGGAACATTGTTTAGATACCCCTCAAAAATAGTTTTTTTCCACTATGGCCATCTTTGCACTATAGCAGCTTTTAGACTGATGCTACTACCTTGGCCTCTCATATCGGGCATTCACCCGCCCTCCTTCCATATCTGTGTTCCACTCTCCAACTTCCCTCCCTCTTTTTTCCCACGCTGCTCCCCCCTTCCCCCAACAGTTGTAGGGGCAGGGGGTTGTATATAAGGTGTGGGTGGGGGATTTGAGGGTGATTCTTTTACGTGTGGTGGCCAGATGACTCTTCTAGCGTTGTGGCTGCTTGCTCTGACTCCTTACGCCTTGGGTAAGACCCGCCAAACACACACCGAAACTACGACGTTGGTACAACGTTCGAACAAGTTTTAACACCACCTAACCACTTATAACCACCAATATAGCAAGTTGTAACAACGTTCTAATACGTCATAAACACGTTAATCCAAGATGTGACAACTTTATTGCAAGTTGTAACAAGCGGAAAATAGAGACAGTTTCGGTTTGTGTTTCCAGGGGTGTCTCTCTCAACTCTAACTGGGGTCCTATGATCTCCCTTCTCCTTTTCCGTTTCTGTACAGGATGGTGATCCGGCGGTGCTCGGGACATCTTTCCTTCTGCACACACCTCTTCTTTTTCTCTCTAAGCACACTCTCCCCCGTCTCCTTCGTCCCTGCCCACACACGCCCTTACGACGTCGTCTCTCCACGATGTTTCAGCATTCTTGGAGGACAAGTGTCAATTATTACCGAACTGCTCAACCCGTTCTCGCAAATTCGTAAAGTCAATATTGACTTATTAACTACGTGCATAGGTGATATACTAAACATAATAGATACCCTTAAAAAGATTCATAGAAAACACCGACCTTACCTAACCTTGTTAGTATCTTAAGATAAGCATCTTATTGCTTCGTAATTACAATTATTACTTAACCTATACCTATTATAGGTTAGGTAATAATTGTAATTACGAAGCAATAAGATGCTTATCTTAACATACTAAGTAGGTTAGGTAAGGTCGGTGTTTTCTATGAATCTTTTTAAGGGTATCTATTATGTTAAGTATGTCACCTATGCACATATTTAATAAGTCAATATTGACTTATTAAATTTGCGAGAACGGGTTGCACTGCTTGTGAGAGTAAATACTATAATTACCACGGTCTGCTCACCTAAGGTCAACTCGTAAGTGTACTCGAGTTCCTCATCACTTAATATCCCGAATTTTGTGACTTGCTGTTAAAATAGTGAGAATTTGTGGGTATTAACTCACCGCAGGAATGGTGAAATACGCCTAAATGGTGAGCATCTTCTTCTTGAGGTTATCTTGAGATGATTTCGGGGCTTTTAGTGTCCCCGCGGCCCGGTCCTCGACCAGGCCTCCACCCCCAGGAAGTAGCCCGTGACAGCTGACTAACACCCAGGTACCTATTTTACTGCTAGGTAACAGGGGCATAGTGTGAATGAAACTCTGCCCATTGTTTCCCGCCGGCGCCTGGGATCGAACCCAGGACCACAGGATCACAAGTCCCGTGTGCTGTCCGCTCGGCCGACCAGCTCCCTTATGCATAATGACAGTTGATGATGTATGGTATTAGGAAGGTATATGTTGCATTTGTTTTTGTCGTTGAAGATTCATCTACTCTGAACAAAAGTGTCAAGTAACACGGGCTATGGCGATCCCAAAGTGGACATTTTTTTCCCCCCATATCCTCTGTGTTGCAGGATCGCCCCGGGCTTGGGAGGCGGAGATCCGCTGCTACGCCTCCACCAACAAGAACGGTGAATGGTTCGAGTTTAACGAGCCCGTGCCAAACCTGGCCAGCTTCAGCTTCGACAACACTGTTGAGAGTGTTACAGTCACCGGCATGTGAGTCCCTTCACCTACACACTTTCACCTACATTTTCACCTACACCTGGTCGACGACCGGGCCGCGGGGACGCTAAGCCCCGGAAGCACCTCAAGGTAACCTCAAGGTAAGGTATATCCCTTCCTCAGGCCTGTCTCCCTGGGGCCAGATTCACGAAAGCACTTGCGCAAGCACTTATGAACCTGGGGCCAGATTCACGAAAACACTTACGAATCTGGGGCCTGATTCACGAAGCAGTTACGCAAGCACTTACGAACGTGTACATCTTTCCTCAATCTTTGACGGCTTTTGTTACATTTATTAAACAGTTTACAAGCATGAAAACTTGCCAATCAACTGTTGTTATTGTTATAAACAGCCTCCTGGTGCTTCGGAGCTCATTAACTGTTTAATAATTGGAAACAAAGCCGCCAAAGATTGAGAAAAGATGGACAGGTTCGTAAGTGCTTGCGTAAGTGTTTTTGTGAATCTGGCCCCAGGTTCGTAAGTGCTTGCGTAAGTGTGTTCGTGAATCTGACCCCAGGTTCGTAAGTGCTTGCGTAAGTGTGTTCGTGAATCTGACCCCAGGTTCGTAAGTGCTTGCGTAAGTGTTTTCGTGAATCTGGCCCCAGGTTCGTAAGTGCTTGCGTAAGTGTTTTCGTGAATCTGGCCCCAGGTTCGTAAGTGCTTGCGTAAGTGTGTTCGTGAATCTGACCCCAGGTTCGTAAGTGCTTGCGTAAGTGTGTTCGTGAATCTGACCCCAGGTTCGTAAGTGCTTGCGTAAGTGTGTTCGTGAATCTGACCCCAGGTTCGTAAGTGCTTGCGTAAGTGTGTTCGTGAATCTGACCCCAGGTTCGTAAGTACTTGCGTAAGTGTGTTCGTGAATCTGGCCCCAGGTTCGTAAGTGCTTGCGTAAGTGTGTTCGTGAATCTGACCCCAGGTTCGTAAGTGCTTGCGTAAGTGTGTTCGTGAATCTGACCCCAGGTTCGTAAGTGCTTGCGTAAGTGTTTTCGTGAATCTGGCCCCAGGTTCGTAAGTGCTTGCGTAAGTGTGTTCGTGAATCTGACCCCAGGTTCGTAAGTGCTTGCGTAAGTGTTTTCGTGAATCTGACCCCAGGTTCGTAAGTGCTTGCGTAAGTGTTTTCATGAATCTGGCCCCAGGTTCGTAAGTGCTTGCGTAAGTGTTTTCGTGAATCTGACCCCAGGTTCGTAAGTGCTTGCGTAAGTGTTTTCATGAATCTGGCCCCAGGTTCGTAAGTGCTTGCGTAAGTGTTTTCGTGAATCTGACCCCAGGTTCGTAAGTGCTTGCGTAAGTGTTTTCATGAATCTGACCCCAGGTTCGTAAGTGCTTGCGTAAGTGTTTTCATGAATCTGACCCCAGGTTCGTAAGTGCTTGCGTAAGTGTTTTCATGAATCTGACCCCAGGTTCGTAAGTGCTTGCGTAAGTGTTTTCATGAATCTGACCCCAGGTTCGTAAGTGCTTGCGTAAGTGTTTTCATGAATCTGGCCCCAGGTTCGTAAGTGCTTGCGTAAGTGTTTTCATGAATCTGACCCCAGGTTCGTAAGTGCTTGCGTAAGTGTTTTCATGAATCTGACCCCTGGAGTGTGTGCCTCTGCTACACCTGCAGACTATAAGTACTAAACAAAAGACAATATACCGTTTGTCTCTACACTCTTGGGGCCAGATTCACGAAAGCACTTACGCAAGCACTTACGAACCTGGGGTCAGATTCACGAACACACTTACGCAAGCACTTACGAACCTGGGGCCAGATTCACGAAAGCACTTACGCAAGCACTTACGAACCTGTACATCTTTTCTCAATCTTTGGCGGCTTTGTTTACAATTATTAAACAGTTAATGAGCTCCGAAGCACCAGGAGGCTGTTTATAACAATAACAACAGTTGATTGGCAAGTTTTCATGCTTGTAAACTGTTTAATAAATGCAGCCAAAGCCGTCAAAGATTGAGGAAAGATGTACACGTTCGTAAGTGCTTGCGTAAGTGCTTTCGTGAATCTGGGCGTTGGTGTACAAGAGTTAAGGTGTAACCTACAATGACCTTTCTCATCTTCACTCTCTCCCCCACATTCTCACTCTCCTTCACTCTTTCTGAATGAGTGCGAATGTGGAAAAATGTAATCATGTCTTCTATACAATATTGTAAACATTGTACTAGAGTTAAAACAGTCTTGGTTTACTTAGTATTTAATGTGTTAGAAGATTATCTGAAGAGTGAAGATACATCAGTGCTTCTGAGTATCTGAAGATATATCAGTGTCTGAGTATCTGAAGAGTGAAGATACATCAGTGCTTCTGAGTATCTGAAGATATATCAGTGTCTGAGTATCTGAAGAGTGAAGATACATCAGTGCTTCTGAGTATCTGAAGATATATCAGTGTCTCTGAGTATCTGAAGATATATCAGTGCTTCTGAGTATCTGAAGATATATCAGTGTCTCTGAGTATCTGAAGATATATCAGTGCTTCTGAGTATCTGAAGATATATCAGTGCTTCTGAGTATCTGAAGATATATCAGTGTCTCTGAGTATCTGAAGATATATCAGTGTCTCTGAGTATCTGAAGATATATCAGTGCTTCTGAGTATCTGAAGATATATCAGTGCTTCTGAGTATCTCAAGATATATCAGTGTCTCTGAGTATCTGAAGATATATCAGTGCTTCTGAATATCTGAAGATATATCAGTGTCTCTGAATATCTGAAGCCATCTATCAAGAGGAAGCGCCAAGCCATCACGACTATATAGCACTGGGAAGGAATCAGGATAAGGATTTAGGATGGGACGAAGGAAAAAAAATGGTGCCCAACCACTTGTAAAGAGTCGGGGATTGAACGTCGACCTGCATGAAGCAAGACCGTCGCTCTCTACCACCCACCCCAAGTGGTTGGGGCCCAGAGCATCAAGAACAACCCTCAATTAGAGTTATTAAAACAATTACGTCCGCTTTTTAACATTGCCGTATAATGCTTGCTGGGTAATGTAAATGATGGCAACACGTACCTTATAAACCTCTTCCACTCCATAAACAACTCCAACTGCTAATGTTAGCAATTATTCCGTCTTGTAACGTCTCGTTCATAATGTCTCATTAACATAGGGGCCTCGTAGCCTGGTGGATAGCGCGCAGGACTCGTAATTCTGTGGCGCGGGTTCGATTCCCGCACGAGGCAGAAACAAATGGGCAAGTTTCTTTGACCCTGAATGCCCCTGTTACCTAGCAGTAAATAGGTACCTGGGTGTTGGTCAGCTGTCACGGGCTGCTTCCTGGGAGTGGAGGCCTGGTCGAGGACCGGGCCGCGGGGACACTAAATCCCCGAAATCATCTCAAGATAACTTGCGAGATTGAATCGAATTCTCGTTATTATAATTTGATTCTGAATATTCTGTTTAATTTGAAAACTTCAAAATGGCCAAAGGCTGAATAGCACTTTGATAAGACTTTGTTTTACGAACATACATGTTAATGTTAAGTAACATCTACGCCTTATACTCCAGTAACAGAATGGTGTAGGGAAGTGTAGACACTAGAAGGTGAAGGGACGACGACGTTTCGATCCGTCCTGGACCATTCTCAAGGCGATTGTGAATGGTCCAGGACGTTTCTTCATCACTAGCTGGCTATACTGGAACCCACCTATATCATACACTCCAGTAGGTGGATATCCTGGAACCCACCTACATCATATACTCCAGTAGGTGGATATACTGGAACCCACCTATATCATACACTCCAGTAGGTGGATATCCTGGAACCCACCTACATCATATACTCCAGTAGGTGGATATACTGGAACCCACCTATATCATACACTCCAGTAGGTGGATATCCTGGAACCCACCTATATCATACACTCCAGTAGGTGGATATCCTGGAACCCACCTACATCATACACTCCAGTAGGTGGATATCCTGGAACCCACCTACATCATACACTCCAGTAGGTGGATATCCTGGAACCCACCTATATCATACACTCCAGTAGGTGGATATCCTGGAACCCACCTATATCATACACTCCAGTAGGTGGATATACTGGAACCCACCTACATCATACACTCCAGTAGGTGGATATCCTGGAACCCACCTACATCATATACTCCAGTTGGTGGATATACTGGAACCCACCTACATCATACACTCCAGTAGGTGGATATCCTGGAACCCACCTACATCATACACTCCAGTAGGTGGATATCCTGGAACCCACCTACATCATACACTCCAGTAGGTGGATATGTTGGAACCCACCTACATCATACACTCCAGTAGGTGGATATCCTGGAACCCACCTACATCATACACTCCAGTAGGTGGATATCCTGGAACCCACCTACATCATACACTCCAGTAGGTGGATATACTGGAACCCACCTACATCATATACTCCAGTAGGTGGATATCCTGGAACCCACCTACATCATACACTCCAGTAGGTGGATATACTGGAACCCACCTACATCATATACTCCAGTAGGTGGATATCCTGGAACCCACCTACATCATACACTCCAGTAGGTGGATATACTGGAACCCACCTACATCATACACTCCAGTAGGTGGATATACTGGAACCCACCTACATCATACACTCCAGTAGGTGGATATACTGGAACCCACCTACATCATACACTCCAGTTGGTGGATATACTGGAACCCACCTACATCATATACTCCAGTTGGTGGATATACTGGAACCCACCTACATCATATACTCCAGTTGGTGGATATACTGGAACCCACCTACATCATACACTCCAGTAGGTGGATATCCTGGAACCCACCTACATCATATACTCCAGTTGGTGGATATACTGGAACCCACCTACATCATACACTCCAGTAGGTGGATATACTGGAACCCACCTACATCATACACTCCAGTTGGTGGATATACTGGAACCCACCTACATCATATACTCCAGTTGGTGGATATCCTGGAACCCACTTGCAACACCTACACCATTCACTCCAGTGAGTAGTTACAGCTGATCCCTCCTACAGCACCAACTCTGTATTCCTGCAGGTGGATCTTGTACCAAGAACCCGACTACAACACCCAGGTCTCTGGTTCCGTCTTCTGGTTGGATGGTATCGACTTCACAGCGGACGTTCCCTCTCAATACGCTAATATGGTGAGAATTCTTCCTTGTGCTAAATAGTCCTCTGGCTTGGTACGTTCTTTGGTGATTACTCCTGTGTCTAAGTTTGTGGCAACTTTTTCAGCGTGAGAGGCGACGGCGCTGGAACCAATCGTATTGGCGTTTGCTTTTCCAGTGGAGACTTTTGGCGCCGTGGAGAGAGGAGGGAGGGCCTGCTGCATGGGTAACAGCTTCTCCCCCGTATCAACCTACACAGGCTTTGCGCCCTGGAGAGAGGGGGGGGACCTGCTGCATGGGTAACAGCTTCTCCCCCGTATCAACCTACCCTGGCTTTACGCCCTGGAGAGAGTGGGGGGGGACCTGCTGCATGGGTAACAGCTTCTCCCCCATATCAACCTACCCAGGCTTTGCGCCCTGGAGAGAGGGGGGGGGGGACCTGCTGCATGGGTAACAGCTTCTCCCCCATATCAACCTACCCAGGCTTTGCGCCCTGGAGAGAGGGGGGGGGGACCTGCTGCATGGGTAACAGCTTCTCTCCCATATCAACCTACCCTGGCTTTGCGCTCTGGAGAGGCCACTCCAGACCGACAACCAGAGCGCAACTCCATAGTCTCCGAGGACTGATGGATGTCTACTATTACCACTGCTACTACTTTTTCTAGCCTCTCACGCTAAAAACTTTGTCGCAATCTTACAAACACACAGGAAATAGAGTGACAGATAGGAAATATTTGATGTTTGGCCGATTAGTTATCTGTATATTGAAATGTCGTCAATTAGTTATCTGTTATTTATGTTAGATTTGTAAGTGTCTGTATTGTCCTTATCCTTCTAATTTTCAAGCCCTGGAGGGGAATTATCAGGAGAAAGTGCCAAGCCATCACGACTATATAGCACTGGGAAGGGGTCAGGATAAGGATTTGGGATGGGGGGGGGGGAAGGAATGGTGCCCAACCACTTGTGGATGGTCGGGGATTGAACGCCGACCTGAATGAAGTCAGACCGTCGCTCTACCGTCCACCCCATGTGGTTAGACTGGAACTTGTGACTTTCAAACTTTCATATTAGTTTTTTAATCTGTGTAGCTAGTCGAGATCAGAGAGATGCCAAAACTATGCAGAAAGGTACAAGTGCGTAAGTAATTACCAAAAGAAGGTACCAAGCCGGGAAGGTTATGAAGAATATTCAGGCGAGGAGTCACACTAACGTGGCTGAAGTATGTTGACCAGACCACACACTAGAAGCTGAAGGGACGACCACGACGTTTCGGTCCGTCCTGGACCACTCTCAAGTCGATTGAGAATGATCCAGGACGATCCACGATTCTCAAATCCACAATCGACTTGAGAATGGTCCAGGACGGACCGAAACGTTGTCGTCCCCACGGGAGACATCTCCCGTCACGCAGGGTGCAGTTGCACCTCCACAGATCTCCAGTATCAGCTCTTGATACTGGTAATGGCTCAAAAGGGCCACCACTTACGGGCTATTCATGCCCGTGCCACCTTTTGGATGGCTTAATCTTCTCTTGTCGTCGTCCCTTCACCTTCTAGTGTGTGGTCTGGTCAACACGTAGCACCATTCATAATGGTACAAGAGTAGGCATCCATCAGTCTCAGGACTCCTGGTCAACAAAGGTGTCCAGCAGCTGGACACCCTCATAAAGACTGTGAAGCAGTATCCTCCCCCGCGATAACAGCTTGATGGTTAAATGCAATCTCAGAATACTGAAAAAAAAAATTGTACCACTTACGGGCTATTCATGCCCGTGCCACCTCTTGGGTGGCTTAATCTTTATCAATCATCCATCAGTCTCAGGAGACGACCATCTGGTCACCATTTGGTCCGGGAGACATCTCCCGTCACGCAGGGTGCAGTTGCGCCTCCACAGATCTCCAGCATCATCTATTGATACTGGTAATGGCTCAAAAGGGCCACCACTTACGGGCTATTCATGCCCGTGCCACCTCTTGGGTGGCTTAATCTTTATCAATCATCCATCAGTCTCAGGAGACTATGGAGTTGCGCTCTGGTTGTCGGTCTGGAGTGGCCTCACCAGGGCGCAACTAGTGAGGCCACTGGACCAAACTCTCACAAGTCAAGCCTGGCCTCGGGCCGGGCTTGGGGAGTAGAAGAACTCCCAGAACCCCATCAACCAGGTATATGTGGGCCTGCGGGCCGCTCCAAGCAACAGCCTGGTGGACCAAACTCTCACAAGTCAAGCCTGGCCTCGGGCCGGGCTTGGGGAGTAGAAGAACTCCCAGAACCCCATCAACCAGGTATCAACCAGGTATCAACTAATTAGAACCTCACGTCAAGGTTCTAATCAGTCTGAAATGTGCGTCGCCTCCCACAGGCCTCGTCTCTACGGTACGCTGGCAGCCCTTTCCAGCTGAACGAGGACTCCTGGACGATGTATACTGGGCAGGGGTTCACCGAGGACACCCTCTACGGCGCCTCTGATATGCCCTCCCTCGGACGCCTGTCCGCTGACGTCTCCTCCATCATCCTTACAGGCACCAGCGCCTGGACCTTCTACCAGTGAGTCTCGCTGGCTTTCCCACCGCACAAAAATTTCCTAAATAGCGCTAAAAATCTCTAAAATAGAATTAAATTATGGATAATTTACCTATACATATCACTAAGAGTTTATCCAGCTATGCCTCAATCATTCAAAGACTGCACAATAGATCTTCCCCAGTTACATCGGGTTATATGTTCTTCAAAATTTTAATGAAATATCCTTTACAGTATACAATGATTGTGTCGTTAGGGGGATAAGGGGGGTAGAAATAGCCTAAGCTACTCTATCCCTTTGAGATGTATTTATTGCTTATCTCAATAAACATACTTGAACTTGAACTTGTTAGGGGGATAATTTCGAACTTGTGAGGGGCCAAATCTGTGCTTGTGAACACTGCTGTGTGTATATTGGGGTCCTTACTGGATCTATATATATTTATTACTTAAACATGTGACGTTTAAGTGGTCATATTGGTGCTTGAACAGGGGAGAGAGTTACACCGGCGGGGGTGTGTGTCTGCGGCCAGACACCCATCACCACAACACTCTCTTCAAGAGCTTCGACGTCGGCATCTTCCCGACGGTAAGGTTCATCTTCCCTAGAGTAAGGGTCATCCTCCCTAGAGTAAGGTTCATCTTCCCTAGGGTAAGGGTCATCTTCCCTAGAGTAAGGGTCATCTTCCCTAGAGTAAGGGTCATCCTCCCTAGAGTAAGGTTCATCTTCCCTAGGGTAAGGGTCATCTTCCCTAGGGTAAGGGTCATCTTCCCTAGAGTAAGGGTCATCTTCCCTAGAGTAAGGTTCATCTTCCCTAGGGTAAGGGTCATCTTCCCTAGAGTAAGGGTCATCTTCCCTAGAGTAAGGGTCATCCTCCCTAGAGTAAGGGTCATCTTCCCTACAGTAAGGGTCATCCTCCCTAGAGTAAGGTTCATCTTCCCTAGGGTAAGGGTCATCTTCCCTAGAGTAAGGGTCATCTTCCCTAGAGTAAGGGTCATCCTCCCTAGAGTAAGGGTCATCTTCCCTAGAGTAAGGGTCATCCTCCCTAGAGTAAGGGTCATCTTCCCTAGGGTAAGGGCCATCTTCCCTAGGGTAAGGGTCATCTTCCCTAGAGTAAGGTTCATCTTCCCTAGAGTAAGGTTCATCTTCCCTAGAGTAAGGTTCATCTTCCCTAGAGTAAGGGCCATCTTCCCTAGAGTAAGGTTCATCTTCCCTAGAGTAAGGGCCATCTTCCCTAGAGTAAGGTTCATCTTCCCTAGAGTAAAGGTCATCTTCCCTAGAGTAAGGTTCATCTTCCCTAGAGTAAGGGTCATCTTTATAATAAGCTTGATCTTCCTTACAATAAGGTTCATATTCCTTACAGTAAAGTTCATATTCCCTATGGTAAGGTTCATATTCCCTATGGTAAGGTTCATATTCCCTATGGGAAGGTTCATATTCCCTATGGGAAGGTTCATATTCCCTATGGTAAGGTTCATATTCCCTATGGTAAGGTTCATATTCCCTATGGTAAGGTTCATATTCCCTATGGTAAGGTTCATATTCCCTATGGTAAGGTTCATATTCCCTATGGTAAGGTTCATATTCCCTATGGTAAGGTTCATATTCCCTATGGGGTCATATTCCCTATGGGAAGGGTCATATTCCCTATGGTAAGGTTCATATTCCCTATGGTAAGGTTCATATTCCCTATGGGAAGGTTCATATTCCCTATGGGAAGGTTCATATTCCCTATGGGAAGGTTCATATTCCCTATGGGGTCATATTCCCTATGGGAAGGGTCATATTCCCTATGGTAAGGTTCATATTCCCTATGGGAAGGGTCATATTCCCTATGGGAAGGTTCATATTCCCTATGGGAAGGGTCATATTCCCTATGGTAAGGTTCATATTCCCTATGGGAAGGTTCATATTCCCTATGGGAAGGTTCATATTCCCTATGGTAAGGTTCATATTCCCTATGGGAAGGGTCATATTCCCTATGGGAAGGTTCATATTCCCTATGGTAAGGTTCATATTCCCTATGGTAAGGTTCATATTCCCTATGGGAAGGTTCATATTCCCTATGGGAAGGTTCATATTCCCTATGGTAAGGTTCATATTCCCTATGGGAAGGGTCATATTCCCTATGGGAAGGTTCATATTCCCTATGGTAAGGTTCATATTCCCTATGGTAAGGTTCATATTCCCTATGGGAAGGTTCATATTCCCTATGGGAAGGTTCATATTCCCTATGGTAAGGTTCATATTCCCTATGGGAAGGTTCATATTCCCTATGGGAAGGTTCATATTCCCTATGGTAAGGTTCATATTCCCTATGGGAAGGTTCATATTCCCTATGGGAAGGTTCATATTCCCTATGGGAAGGTTCAACATGTGCCTTTCTGCCCAGTATGAGTTACAGAAATTAGATAATTTCTAATATTGGTAATTTCTCATGTGTACAATTTGGCAGGCATAGTGAAGTTACGGAACATTATTTCATATGTTAGTAATATCTGAACACATAGCAGGATTTGTGCTGACAAGAGCCAGAAACCTGCATTAATATTCACTAAAGCTTTCCAACTTAAAATAATGTAAGTTTAGTTAAGCTTCGAGTATGTTTTCCCAAGTTGATCAATTCCCATTATCTTCATAAGTCGATTAATCAATTACTTAATAATATATTCAAATCAAATCTAATGTAAAGTAACTTTACCAAATCTTGGTAAAGTTACTCATTTGTTATTCAATAACTGTACATGATCACTACGTCATCAAAATTGACATATAAATATCTATTCTTTATCACTTTTCTATTTTATTAAAGTTTCTTATCGTATATTTCTCACATTCTTATCTTTCATGTTAAGATTTCACATCTTGACTGACAAAATATTTTTCTGATATGTCGTCCAAGTCGGTATACAGCTTGTCGATGTTGTGTTTGGTCGACGCACAATCGAGATTTCCGGGTTCGAGTCCCGGGCGGGACAGAAATGATTGGGCACATTTCTTTGAACCTAATGCACATGTTCACTTAGCAGTGAGTAGGTACTCAGAAGTTAGTCATCTTATTGTGGGAGTGCATCCTTGGGTGAGGTCAGTAATTCGACCTTGGGCTTGGGGGGAGGGGGGAGATGGAAGCTTGATATAAGCCTAACGTGTATGAATACACTCTGGCTTCCTGTCCCCCGACACAGTGAATTAAAAGACAAATTATAACTATATGTGGCTTCATTAACATGGTATGTGAGGCATCTGACTCATGTTTCTCTGATCCACAGTCCGCTGAGTTCAACCTCCAAGATAACAGCATCAGGTCGGTGAGGAAGGGATGCTACTCTGAGGCCGTGGCTCCCTACAACTCTACCACCACCTACTTCGGGGAGTACTCTGCCAGTGGTGCCTGGGGGTACTTCCACCTTTAGGTGTCTCAGGGGCATACCTACCTCTAGGTGCTTGGAGGGGCATGCCCTCCTCTAGGTGTCTGGAGGGTACTTCCACCTCTAGGTGCCTCAGGGGCATACCTACCTCTAGGTGCTTGGAGGGGCATGCCCTCCTCTAGGTGTCTGGAGGGTACTTCCACCTCTAGGTGTCTCAGGGGCATACCTACCTCTAGGTGCTTGGAGGGGCATGCCCTCCTCTAGGTGTCTGGAGGGTACTTCCACCTCTAGGTGCCTCAGGGGCATACCTACCTCTAGGTGCTTGGAGGGGCATGCCCTCCTCTAGGTGTCTGGAGGGTACTTCCACCTCTAGGTGCCTCAGGGGCATACCTACCTCTAGGTGCTTGGAGGGGCATGCCCTCCTCTAGGTGTCTGGAGGGTACTTCCACCTCTAGGTGCCTCAGGGGCATACCTACCTCTAGGTGCTTGGAGGGGCATGCCCTCCTCTAGATGTCTGGAGGGTACTTCCACCTTTAGGTGCCTCAGGGGCATACCTACCTCTAGGTGCTTGGAGGGGGCATGCCCTCCTCTAGGTGTCTGGAGGGTACTTCCACCTCTAGGTGCCTCAGGGGCATACCTACCTCTAGGTGCTTGGAGGGGCATGCCCTCCTCTAGGTGTCTGGAGGGTACTTCCACCTCTAGGTGCCTCAGGGGCATACCTACCTCTAGGTGCTTGGAGGGGGCATGCCCTCCTCTAGGTACTAACCTAACCTATCAATGCAGATGTTCATTGGACCGAGCAAGCTTCCAAATTAAGGTTCCTTAATTCCCTCAAGTGTCAGGAGATGATGTATGTAGTGTGTGTGTGTGCGTGTGTGTGTGTGTGTGTGTGTGTGTGTGTGTGTGTGTGTGTGTGTGTGTGTGTGTGTGTGTGTGTGTGTGTGTGTGTGTGTGTGTGTGTGTGTGTGTGTGTGTGTGTGTACTCACCTAGTTGTGTTTGCGGGGGTTGAGCTCTGGCTCTTTGGTCCCGCCTCTCAACCGTCAATCAACTGGTGTACAGGTTCCTGAGTCTATTGGGCTCTATCATATCTACACTTGAAACTGTGTATGGAGTCAGCCTCCACCACATCACTTCCTAATGCATTCCATTTGTCAACCACTCTGACACTAAAAAAGTTCTTTCTAATATCTCTGTGGCTCATTTGGGCACTCAGTTTCCACCTGTGTGTGTGTGTGTGTGTGTGTGTGTGTGTGTGTGTGTGTGTGTGTGTGTATGTGTGTGTGTGTGTGCCACTATCCTGGCGGTGTTCCTGGTAACTTGCTGTAATGTTTAGTTTTGTAATAATACACTACAAATGTTTACACGTACATTCAGTAATATGTTACACAACAAATATAATGTTACCTGGTTGATACCTGGTTGATGGGGTTCTGGGAGTTCTTCTACTCCCCAAGCCCGGCCCGAGGCCAGGCTTGACTTGTGAGAGTTTGGTCCACCAGGCTGTTGCTTGGAGCGGCCCGAGGCCAGGCTTGACTTGTGAGAGTTTGGTCCACCAGGCTGTTGCTTGGAGCGGCCCGCAGGCCAGGCTTGACTTGTGAGAGTTTGGTCCACCAGGCTGTTGCTTGGAGCGGCCCGCAGGCCAGGCTTGACTTGTGAGAGTTTGGTCCACCAGGCTGTTGCTTGGAGCGGCCCGCAGGCCCACATACCCACCACAGCCCGGTTGGTCCGGCACCAATGTGAGTTGAAACACACTAGGTATTATTTAATAAACATTAATTAAATATATAATTACCATTATTACTAGTGTTTTATTTGGAACTGTTGTGATGGCATGTTATTATACAGAACAACAAAGTTGTAAGGGAATAATGTTTTACAATGACTGCAATTGCACACAACAGCACCAGTCCCAGTGGTGGTTGCTATCCAGACTATATCATATATCAGACTATATCAATCGACAGAAATTAGATTCATGATCATTGTGGGATCTCAGTCACCTGCTGCATTGGTAGCATCCTGCGACCTGTGACATTGATAGGGGCTCAGCCACTTGTGATCAGGAGGAGGCCTGGTCGACTAGGCCACCGACCAGGAGGCTTGGTCGACCAGACCACCGACCAGGAGGTTTGGTCGACCAGGCCACCGACCAGGAGGCTTGGTCGACCAGATCACCGACCAGGAGGCTTGGTCGACCAGGCCACCGACCAGGAGGCTTGGTCGACCAGATCACCGACCAGGAGGCTTGGTCGACCAGGCCACCGACCAGGAGGCTTGGTCGACCAGATCACCGACCAGGAGGCCTATTCGACCAGGCCACCGACCACTTCCAGAAGGCCACCGACCAGGAGGCCTGGTCGACGACCGGGCCGCGGGGACGCTAAGCCCCGGAAGCACATCAAGGTAAGATGATATTGGTAGTGTGGTCACCTTTGGTATTGGTAACATCCAGTCACCTGTGGTATTGGTAGTGTTGTGACCCAAATGAATATGCATACATTAGTTAGATTCTATCTCAAACTATAAGGTGGTAGAGATGTATATGCGTGTGTATGGATTAGCTGAGTGACATCTGGCTAATGTCACTGAGTGGAAGCAGGTGACATCTGGGATGCCAGATTGTCGGAGTCTCCTTAGATGAGGCCACCGATCATCTCAGACTGATAGTACTTCAAAAATCAGCTGGCAACTCTAAAGTATAATCAGAAACTGGCTTGAGGCTAATGCACAATGATTGTTGTTTGTGGAAGGTCTGAGGGCACGTCACATATGTGGAGACTGTGTAAGACTGTGTAAGATATGTGTAAGACTGCCTCAAGTTAGACGGGCAAGCAGTTCTGATGCAGGCGATGAGTCACAATAACGTGGCTGACGTATGTTGACCAGACCACACACTAGAAGGTGAAGGGACGACGACGTTTCGGTCCGTCCTGGACCATTCTCAAGTCGATTGAGAATGGTCCAGGAATCGACTTGAGAATGGTCCAGGACGGACCGAAACGTCGTCGTCCCTTCAACTTCTAGTGTGTGGTCTAGTCAACAAGCAGTCCTGATCTGCAAGCAGTATTGACAGACATTGTGGCGTCTTGTGATAGTAGACCCCCACACTCATCAAAGCAGTGCAGGCCTGTGGTGGAATATGTACCTACCTATCTTGAGGCTACCTTGAGGTGCTTCCGGGGCTTAGCGTCCCCGCGGCCCGGTCGTCGACCAGGCCTCCTGGTTGCTGGACTGATCAACCAGGCTGTTAGACGCGGCTGCTCGCCGCCTGACGTATGAGTCACAGCCTGGTTGATCAGGTAAATGTAGGTTGGTATTGTGAAGAGTATGTGTTATGAAGTGATTAAAATTGGACCAGTAATATGAGAGAGATAAGTGGTTTTCCAGAGACAAGGATGGCATAGGGATTAGATTATTGGAGACCAAGGGGGATGCCGAATGGGGAGTAGGGGGTTTAGACCCCTAGGCACACAGAATAGAACTATCAGGAGAAATCGCCAAGCCATCACGACTATATAGCACTGGGAAGGGGTCAGGATAAGGATTTGGGATGGGACGGTGGGAAGGAATGGTGCCCAACCACTTGTGGATGGTCGGGGGATTGAACGCCGACCTGCATGAAGAGAGACCGTCGCTCTACCGTCCAGCCCAAGTGGTTGGGTGTCCAGCCCTAGTCAGTGTTTGGGGAATGTAAATACTCGTGAATGCGTAAGTATCCACTAGAAAAATAAAGTGAAACTTGCAAACGTTTTTGGTTTCAACACATTATCAAGGAAATACAAACAGATGACAAGATTGATGAAGATTAAGCCACCCAAAAGGTGGCACGGGCATGAATAGCCCGTATGTGGTGGCCCTTTTGAGCCATTACCAGTATCAAGAGCTGATACTGGAGATCTGTGGAGGTGCGACTGCACCCTGCGTGACGGGAGATGTCTCCCTTGGACAGATGACAGATTGATTGATGAAGATTAAGCCACCCAAGAGGTGGCATGGGCATGAATAGCCCCGACAGATGATTGATTGATGAAGATTAAGCCACCCAAGAGGTGGCACGGGCATGAATAGCCCGTAAGTGGTGGCCCTTTTGAGCCATTACCAGTATCAAGAGCTGATACTGGAGATCTGTGGAGGTGCGAATGCACCCTGCATGACGGGAGATGTCTCCTTTGTGAATGTGTTAAGATGAAGATTAAGCCACCCAAAAGGTGGCACGGGCGTGAATAGCCCGTAAGTGGTGGCCCTTTTGAGCCATTACCAGTATCAAGAGCTGATACTGGAGATCTGTGGAGGTGCGACTGCACCCTGCGTGACGGGAGATGTCTCCAGTGACAGATGACATTAGTGTCTGGAATTATATACCCAACTTCACCTGACTACACAATGATCCATAAGTTAAAATATCGATTAAAGGAAGTGACATGAAGGTGAGTTGGGTATATAATCTTTATATACTTAATATATACTCACTCTCACGTCAGTTCTATTAATGAATACTTTAGCTTATGGATCTTTGTCTAGGCAGGTGTAGTTGGATATATAATTCCAAACATATCATCTGTTTCACGGGCTATTCATGCCCATGCCACCTCTTGGGTGGTTTAATCTTCATCAATCAATCAATCTGTCATCTGTCGGCACCATCTGGTCACAACTTGGTCCGGGAGACATCTCCCGTCACGCAGGGTGCAGTCGCGCCTCCACAGATCTCCAGTATCAGCTCTTGATACTGGTAATGGCTCAAAAGGGCCACCACTTACGGGCTATTCATGCCCGTGCCACCTCTTGGGTGGCTTAATCTTCATCAATCAATCATCTGTCGGGGCTATTCATGCCCATGCCACCTCTTGGGTGGCTTAATCTTCATCAATCAATCTGTCATCTGTCCACGGGAGACATCTCCCGTCACGCAGGGTACAGTCGCGCCTCCACAGATCTCCAGTATCAGCTCTTGATACTGGTAATGGCTCAAAAGGGCCACCACTTACGGGCTATTCGTGCCCGTGCCACCTCTTGGGTGGCTTAATCTTCATCAATCAATCATCTGTCGGGGCTATTCATGCCCATGCCACCTCTTGGGTGGCTTAATCTTCATCAATCAATCTGTCATCTGTCCACGGGAGACATCTCCCGTCACGCAGGGTACAGTCGCGCCTCCACAGATCTCCAGTATCAGCTCTTGATACTGGTAATGGCTCAAAAGGGCCACCACTTACGGGCTATTCGTGCCCGTGCCACCTCTTGGGTGGCTTAATCTTCATCAATCATCTGTCATCAATTGTCATCTGTATTTCCTTGACTATGTGGTGACACACGAAAACTTTCGGAATTTTCATATTTTCCTAGTGGATACTTCTTACACATAACCTGTGGTCACCTGTGGTATTGGGAGCATTCAGCAACCCGTTCTCGCACTTTCGTATAGTCAATATTGACTTGTTAAATACGTTGACCAGACCACACACTAGAAATTGAAGGGACGACGACGTTTCGGTCCGTCCTGGACCATTCTCAAGTCGATTCAAGTCTATCGACTTGAGAATGGTCCAGGACGGACCGAAACGTCGTCGTCCCTTCAATTTCTAGTGTGTGGTCTGGTCAACATACTTCAGCCACGTTATTGTGACTCATCGCCTGTATTAAATATGTGCATATGTGACATACTAAACATACTAGTTTACCTTGAAAAACTTCATAGAAAACACCGACCTTACCTAACCTTCTTAGTATGTTAAGATAAGCATCTTATTGCTTCGTAATTACAATTATTACTTGGTAAGGTCGGTGTTTTCTATGAAGCTTTTCAAGGTAAACTAGTATGTTTAGTATGTAACATATGCACGTATTTAATAAGTCAATATTGACTAAGAAAGTGCGAGAACGGGTTGCATTCAGTCACCTGTACTCACCAAGTTGTGCTTGTACTCACCAAAGAGCTTTGGCTCTTTGGTGCTGATACCTGTGGTATTGGTAG